CCGGCGCCGCTACCACCTCCGGCCGGGCAGCGGCATGCGAGGCGCTCGCCGGCACCTGCTCCGCGCGCCGCGCACGCCCGGCAGCCCGGCTCGCGGGGAGGTCGGGAGGAGCCGCGGCCTCCGGGAGGAGGACGGGCGGGGGAGGGCGGGGAAGAGGGAGGGGCGGGGACCGCAGCCTTAAAGACGCCGCGGAGGACCCTCTCGCTCCAGCCCCGGGAGGCGGATCTGGCGCCCGGCGGGCCGAGGGGCTGGGGCGTGGGAGTTGCGCGCGGAGGCGGGAATGTGTGCGCGGCGGCACGCGCGGGCGCCCGCGTGCAGACTCCCGAAGGACCGGCTCGGGGCCGGTGCCAGAGACGGTCCTACTGCGCGGGTGCCGTGTTCTCTCCTCCGGGGGACGGGGAATTGCTCTTTCCGCCTCCAGCAGTCTCAGGGCGCAGGAACCCCGCCGTCTCCAGCGGCCTCGGCCGGGCGCTGCCGGGGGCAAGGGACCGCCGGGAGAGGGACGCGGGGAGGGACCGCGCCGCAGGTTCCTGGTGAAGGGTTTCTTGGCCCTCCCGCCTCTTCGGATGGCGGGGAAGCGTCTCTCTCCCTCCTGTCCCCACCCTCCAGCTCCAAACACATTCCTATTCATGCCACTTCCTCTCTGGGATTGTGAGAAAAATTGACGAGGCGATGTTTGTGCAATCAGACAATCAGAGCGCCTGAGAAATTCTCTTCAGACCAGTTTTTCTCTCCTTACAAAGCGTCTGTTCGTTCATAGGCAGAGCATTGCGATGTCTTTATATCTAAAGGGCAGAAGGCTTGATCATCGCTTAGCTAAGGGGCTGGGGACATACAGCAAACATTGCTCTAAAGGACTCGGTGCTGTTTACTGGTCCTACATTTCTAGTGTTGCATTCCCTGACTAGCCAGCTTTCCTCTCTCTCAACACCATTTCCAAGCTACCTCTTTTTACCGGGGAAAGCAATTGAACTAATTTTACTACTCTAAAAACATCATGCAGCCAAGTAGAGTTACAAATGAATGAGCTTATTATAAGGTTTCGGGCAAAGAGGTGGGGAGGGAAGTTATAAACAGAAAGCTGCGTGTGTATGTGTGTAAAATTATAGGGAGACACCAATATATGTCTGTTGTACACAACATTCCATTTCTGTTGAGGCAACTGAAAGAAATCACAAAGATGCTCAAACACAGTAAGTAGCCTTTATGAACTTTTTTAAAAAGCTGGTGAAGTTTACTCGTAGCTATTATTAAAAAAAAAAAAAGTTTCTCAGAAGTTAAATAGGTCATCAGGTTAATTTCTTCTGAATATTTGCTATGGTGGAGAAGATTCTGCGTGGGATTCTAGACCCACAGCTATAAAGGCACAGGAAGTAAAAGAAGTAACCAGCAACTTTCTCCTGGACTTCTGGCTCTGCAGTCAACCCACATTCGGGTCTGCTCTACCCAGATTTATCATCTGCTTTGTTCTTTCCGTTTAAGGTTTTTGCCAAGAGCCTGAGGTGGGATTTTCCCAAAGAGTTCCATTCCTGAAAGTCATCATCAGGAGAGGGCAGGCCCTGAGGAGTGAAAGGAAAGGATCTAGTGGGAGATTATGTGAAATGTGATGGGGCTGGAGTCCTTTCACAGTTAGAGGGGGCAAGGCTGAAACAGTCTGCCCCATGGAAGACGCCAGCTGTCCTCAAGGTGAGTTCCCCACCCAACTTTTCACAGACAGAGGAGCTAGAACTACTATGATTGGCTCCTAGAGATTGGTGACTACTCTCCATGTCACCCCCACCCCCACCTGCTTGGGGTGTGGAGGTTGTTCTACACCCTGAACACGTAGCCAAGAGGGTGGGCACCTAGTTGGCCAAAAGGTAGATGATGGAAGGCAGTGGCGAGGTGGTTAAGGACAGTCTCCCCACACAGAGTAAGCTTGTCTTGTTCCAGACATCTGGCACTTGTCCAGGTTAGCTAGCACCGGCTTTAACCGACCGAACCAACCAGGAAAATTTCAATCAAAACAAAAACAGCTAAAATTATAGTAATCATAGAAGGAGAAACTATACAAAATCTCTCCCTCGCTCTGGCACTAGGACCTGGCTCTACCAGTATTTTGAAAATTGTGCCTGTGATCCAGAAGTATGGCGAAGACTGGGAAATTCCAAGTAATTCCAACTCCTTTGAGTCTTTGGACAATGAATTCAGTCATTCAAGAGCAACTTCAAAGACGTTATTAAAATGCACTAAGTTCTTTCTGAGAAGTTCTTGTGCCATTTTTTTTTTCACCGTGTAAGAGACTTTTTCCTTTGTGCTTAAAACTCAGTATTCACTTACAACTTCAAAAATGACAGGTACTAAGAGACATTTAAGAAGAAATTCAGGGTTTTAGGCATCTTAACTTATAGAAAAATAGCCACGGAGGAGTCAGTCTTTTTCCATGCATACATTGACCTTCGGATGCCCAAATGAGTCACCTTGACTTGCAATTAGTTGAACTAACATGACAGTTCCTCTTCCTATAAATCCACTTGCTCCACCCAGGACATGATTTACACTTGAAGTGAGCTCACCACCACCACACGCACACGCGCACACACGCACACGCGCACACACACACACACACACACACACACTTCATTCCATGTTTCAAAATATTTGGGAATAAGGGGATTATTCTCAGTCCTGAGACCCTTCGCATAGATGACTGTTTAAATTCAGCAAAACTAACAATACTTCTCATCCTCAACACTATACATTTTTGTTCAAGGCAAACACTTTCACTTCTAACCCATTTAGACAAGTTTTTCCAAATGCTGGTTAATCAAAAACAATGAGTGGTTTTTCGTGAATTGAATGGTCTGAGAATTTTCTAGAACACAAGAGAATTTTCTAGAACACAATTTTCTAGAACACAAGCTTCTACCTTAAGGCAATTACTCACTGCTATGAAAGCAGCCTAAGGAAGATTCGTCAATATCCTTTCTTCATGGCTTTGCATTTTCTTAAGTTGGACCTTTTTTACTTGCTTTCTGATTTGGGGAAAGTTTCTTTCAGGAATTATAGATTGTTCCTTCATCTCTGAAAATGATCTTTATGCCCAAATCTGTTAAATAAGGTGACTTAATCAGGGGTCCCAGCTTTCTTCCCTCCCCCAGGGAAACAAGGATCAAATACAAATATGTATACTCAGATGCAAATTTCCTTACTCCTTAAAGACTAGATATCACAATAATTATACAACACCTGGTAATCTACTTTGCGGTTGTGATAATTACAGCCCCAAGGCCCACAAATCTGAGCATAGAATTCTTATCTTGACTAAGAAATGTCAGTGATAAGGTGCCTACATCCTAATTCTCTCAAACATTTGGTAAAGCAAAATGACAAGTCAAAAGTAATTTCAAGTCTGGTTTTCATCATAAAAGTAGAGGAAATTTAATCTGTCCTTTTGGATTCTATCAGTTACCCACAGTATCTTCTGTTTTCCAAATACAGTCCATTATTTCATTATTCTTTGTGCAGCGACAGCAGTAATGTTGTTAATGGTCTATCAATGTAATTTTTCTTTTGGCTACTGTTTCATACTTTTTTTTTTCCCTCCTCCTACCTAGGGGTTTTTAATTGTATCGTGCACATACAATTATTTTGGAATCACAATTCCAAAATAACCTTAACCATTACTTGTATAAATAACCAGAGCAACAATAGATTTCATCATAATTCTAAAATTTGGTCTCAGCAATTACCAGAAATTCTTACCCGAGTGTTCAGAGGATAAAAACTGTTGAGAGTAGGGGGTGGGAATCCATAGTTTCACCTCGTCTCTAACAGAGGTGAAATGTCCCTACACCTTCCCGTAAGCCTAGCTTGTGAATATTTTGTCTTTCTGTAACACTAGGGTCAAATTTGTTTCTGGTGCAAACCCATTATCCCCTGTCTAGCCAACTCCCCATTTCATTGGCCAAACATTTCGAAAGTGCTGCCCATTCCCCAGTGTGTCTGCCTTCCATGCTCACCATTCAGTCCCCCACAGTCCGACTGCTACCACTGGACTAAAGGCACCAACCAACGTCACCAACGTCACCACATTGCTCAATTCAGTGCGTGCTTTCCAGCTCTTACCTAGCTTGACCTCCTGCCTTGTTGGACAATCTTGAGCCTCTCCTTGCTCTTCAAACTCTCTCCTCCGTTGGCTCCCATGCCAACACACTCCAGGTTTCCCTCCCACCTCTTTGTCCCATTGCAGTGGCTCTTGGGAGCTCCTTTTCCAATATCCCCGCCTTAAAGGTAAACGGCTTCCCAGATTCTACCCTCTTCTCTTTCTTTGCTCATTCACACATCCTTTCCAGGTGATTCTGTCTCCTGCTAATGCTTCCACTTTGACAACCTACCATCTACCTGCCACAACCCCCCAAATCATGAGCTAGAGCAGATTTCTGGTCCAAGCTTCAGATCTACAGGTGTACCGTATTTAGCACCGATATACTATGCAAATATGTTTAAAGTACGCAAATGTACACCTATATCAGTTCATTAGAGAAGAAAATACAATAGCCCCCCCCCTTATCCACAGGGGATATATTCTAAGACCCCCACGGATACCTGAAACTGCATATAGTACCAAACCTTATACATACTGTGGGGGTTTTGATACGCACATTCTTATGATAAAGTTTAATTTATAAATTAGACATAGTAAGAGATTAACAACAATAATGAATAATGAAATAGAACAATTATAACAATATGCTAGAATAAAAGTTATATGAATGTGGCATGTGTGTCTCTCTCTGTCTCTCTCTCTCTCTCAAAATATCTTATCGTACAGCACTCACCCTCCTTGCGATGATGTGAGATGAGAAAATGCCCACGTGATGAGGTGAAGTGAGGGGAGGGACTGAGGCATTGTGACCTAGCGCTAGGCTGCTCTTGACCTTCTGACGATGTGTCAGAAAGAGGATCATCCATTTCTGGATGACAGTTGACCGCAGGTAACTGAAGCCACAGATAAGGGGGGCTAGAGTAGTACAGCGAATATTTCAGGGGTGGGCAGGGAACCGCACAGTAAAGGGTGCTCGAGCTCAGCATTTTCAAACGTTTTTTTAAACACAAACCACAATAAGAAATATATTTATGTCATGACCCAAGTATATATCCACACATATAACATACCCATATTACACATAATATACCCGCTACACATCCTATTCTATCCTGCTCTGTTTCATTATTTTGAAGGAATGCTGTTTCCAATCTACTCAATTGATTTCCCAACCCACTGAAGGGTTGCAAGCCAGAATTTGAAAAGTGCTGCTGTCAGCCAGAGCTGTGCCTGTGAGAAGAAATGCTGGCTCTCTTTAGTCTTAATGGCACACTCCAGGCTGGTTATTTATTTCTCTGGCACTCTCTTTCTGTCATTATTAGGTTATCAAGTGTTCAGGTAAACAACTTTGACCCAGAATGGCTGACATAAGGCATGTGGGTGAGCCTTCAGAAAGCGCCACAAAAGAACTAAAGAGGAAAAATATTCTGGACATAACGATAGACCTTTTCCTGGACCTCCATGCTCCTCCTCAGGAGATAGTGGAAGGACTAGAAGGTAAAGACCAGCAGGACACCAGACATTGGTAGAGCCTCCAGTTTGAGGGCA